GGGGGGACAGGGACAGGGACAGGGACAGGGACAGGGACAGGGACAGGGACAGGGGTGTTACCAGGGTGGGAGGACAGGGACAGGGGTGTCACCAGGGCAGGGGGACAAGGACAGTGTTACCAGGGCATGGGGACAGGGACAGGGACAGCAGTGTCACCTGGGCGGGGGTACAGCAACAGGGTCACTGGGGCATGAGGACAGGGACAGGGACAGGGGTGTCACTGGGGCGGGGGGACAGGGACAGGGCCAGGGAGACAGGGACAGGGGTGTCACCAGGACAGGAGGACAGGGACAGGGGTGTCACTGGGGCAGGGGGACAGGGACAGGGACAGCGGTGTCACTGGGGCAGGGGGACAGGGACAGGGGTGTCACGGGACAGGGGGACAGGGACAGGGACAGCAGTGTCACCTGGGCATGGGGACAGGGACAGGGGTGTCACTAGGGCAGGAGGACAGGGACAGGGACAGTGTTACTGGGGCATGGGGACAGGGACATGGACAGGGGTGTCACTGGGGCAGGGGGACAGGGACAGTATTACCAGGACATGGGGACATGGACAGGGGTGTCACTGGGACATGGGGACAACAGAGATGCTGGAGACACCAGGACATGGGAACAAGTGAGGCACTGAGGCCACTGTGTGCTGGGGACACCTGTGACACCGCTGCCCTGGGACACTGGGGACACAGTGACACAGGGACTGTGCCACCAGCAGCATGGCATGTGCTCCCAGTGCCACCAGTACAGAGTCCCAGCCTGCCATGGCTGCTGCTGGGAGGATGTCACTGCCAGTGCTCCCAGTGCTCCCAGTCCATCCCAGTGCTCCCAGTGCCTCCCAGCACTCCCAGTGTTCCCAGTCCCTCCCAGTGCCCCCAGTGCATCCCAGTGCTCCCAGTCCCTCCCATTGCTCCCAGTGCCCCCAGCACTCCCAGTCCCTCCCAGTGCCCCTAGCATTCCCAGTGTTCCCAGTCCATCCCAGTCCCTCCCAGTGTTCCCAGTCCCTCCCAGTGCCCCTAGCATTCCCAGTGTTCCCAGTCCATCCCAGTCCCTCCCAGTGCTCCCAGTCCATCCCAGTGCCCCCAGCACTCCCAGTCCCTCCCAGTGCATCCCAGTGCTCCCAGTCCCTCCCAGTACCCCGTCCTTCCCAGTGCCCCCAGTGCTCCCAGTCCCTCCCAGTGCCCCCAGTCCCTCTAGCATTCCCAGTCCCTCCCAGTCCCTCCCAGTGCTCCCAGTTGCCCACCTTGAGGCCCTTGGCCCGGTTGATGGCTCTCAGGGGCCGCAGGACGCGCAGGACCCGCAGGATCTTCACCACCGAGATGGCGCTGGAGCTGCCAGGGGACACACCAGTGCTCCCAGTAACGCCCCCAGTGCTCCCAGTAACGCCCCCAGTACTCCCAGTAACGCCCCCAGTTCTCCCAGTAACGCCCCCATGTTTTCCAGGGTCCCCAGCAATGGCCCCAGTGCCTCCAGTGAGGTTCCCTGGCCCCTCCCAGTACTCCCAGTGTTGAGCCTGGCCCCTCCCAGTGCTCCCAGTTGCCCCCAGCAGCATTCCCAGTGCTCCCAGTTGCCCCCAGCAGCACTCCCAGTTGCCCCCAGCAGCGCTCCCAGTGCTCCCAGTTGCCCCCAGCAGCACTCCCAGTTGCCCCCAGCAGCGCTCCCAGTGCTCCCAGTTGCCCCAGCAGTTCTCCCAGTGCTCCCAGTTGCCCCCAGCAGCACTCCCAGTGCTCCCAGTTGCTCCCAGTGCTCCCAGTTGCATCCAGCAGCGCTCCCAGTGCTCCCAGTTGCCCCAGCAGTTCTCCCAGTGCTCCCAGTTGCCCCCAGCAGCGCTCCCAGCGCAGTCCCTCCCAGTGCCCCCAGTCCCTCTAGCATTCCCAGTCCCTCCCAGTCCCTCCCAGTGCTCCCAGTGCTCCCAGTTGCCCACCTTGAGGCCCTTGGCCCGGTTGATGGCTCTCAGGGGCCGCAGGACGCGCAGGACCCGCAGGATCTTCACCACCGAGATGGCGCTGGAGCTGCCAGGGGACACACCAGTGCTCCCAGTAACGCCCCCAGTGCTCCCAGTAACGCCCCCAGTGCTCCCAGTAACGCCCCCAGTACTCCCAGTAACGCCCCCAGTGCCTCCAGCAGCACCTCGCTGTTTTCCAGGGTCCCCAGCAATGGCCCCAGTGCCTCCAGTGAGGTTCCCTGGCCCCTCCCAGTACTCCCAGTGTTGAGCCTGGCCCCTCCCAGTGCTCCCAGTTGCCCCCAGCAGCATTCCCAGTGCTCCCAGTTGCCCCCAGCAGCACTCCCAGTTGCCCCCAGCAGCGCTCCCAGTGCTCCCAGTTGCCCCCAGCAGCACTCCCAGTGCTCCCAGTTGCCCTCAGCAGCACTCCCAGTGCTCCCAGTTGCTCCCAGTGCTCCCAGTTGCCCCCAGCAGCGCTCCCAGTTTCCCCCAGCAGTGTTCCCAGTGCTCCCAGTTGCCCCCAGCTCACTGCATGCCGAAGGAGATGAGGGACACGCCGACCACCAGCACGTCGAGCAGGTTGAACCAGTTGCGGAGGAAGGAGCCTTTGTGCAGGAATCCTCCAAACACCGTCATCTGTGGGGGAGCGTGAGCCCTGAGCTGGGGACCCCCTGTCCCTGGGGGCACCCCAAAACCCTGGGAACATCCCAAACCCCGGGAACACACCGAACCCTGGGGAACCCCCCCAAACTCTAAGAATTCCCTCCCAAAAGTCTGGGAACCCCCCACTCTAAACCCTGGGAACCTCCTAAAAACCTGGGGACCCCTTCCCAAAACCAGAGAACCCCCAAACAGTGAGAATCCCTTCCCAAACCCTGGGAACTCCCAAAAACCCTGGGAACCTCCCAAACCCCAGGAATCCCCCAAACCCTGGGAACCCCCAAAAACCATGGGAACCCCTTGAAACCCTGGGGAATCCCCCCCCAAACCCCAGAGAACCCCCAAAAACCCTGGGAACCCCAAATTTCTGCTCCCCAGCTCCGGGCGAGCAGATCCCGTGTGGGGTGCACTCCCCCCCACACCCCCCCAGTTTGCCCAGTCCCTCCCAGTTTGCCCAGTTTGCCCACGTGGTTGCGGGGCGAGTGGGCGCGAACGGGGTCCTCTGCGGCCAGCGAGATGCTGCTGAGGATGATGAAGACGAGGATGAGGTTGGTGAAGATGTGGTGGTTGATCAGGGCGTGGCACTTCACCCGCAGCCTGCGCCAGGCACACGTCAGCTCCCAGTGCTCCCAGTCCCCCCAGTGCTCCCAGACCCCCAGCTGGTGTTTCCAGTCCCAGTGCTCCCAGTGCCCCTAGTGCTCCCAATCCCAGTGCTCCCAGTGCTCCCAGTGCCCCCCAGTTTGTGTCTCTAATCCCTGTGCTCCCAGTCCAGCCCAGTGCTCCCAGTGCCACCCAGTGCTCCCAGCGCTCCCAGTGCCCCCAGTTTGTGTCTCCAGTCAGTCCCAGTGCTCCCGGTCCCCCAGTGGTCCCAGTCCCAGGGCTCCCAGTGCTCCCAGTCCCAGCGGTCCCAGTCCATCCCAGTGCTCCCAGTCCCAGCGGTCCCAGTCCATCCCAGTGCTCCCAGTCCCAGTGCTCCCAGTGCCCCCAGTTTGTGTCTCCAGTCAGTCCCAGTGCTCCCGGTCCCCCAGTGGTCCCAGTCCCAGTGCTCCCAGTCCCAGTGGTCCCAGTCCATCCCAGTGCTCCCAGTCCCAGTGCTCCCAGTCCCCTGCTCCCAGTCTGCCCGTTTTGTGTCCCCAATCCCAGTGCTCCCAGTCCCCCCAGTGCTCCCAGTCCCCAGTGTTCCCAATCCCAGTGCTCTCAGTCCCCCCCAGTTTGTATCTCCAGTCCCACTGCTCCCAGTCCCCAGTTTGTCTCCAGTCCCGGTGCCCCCACTCCCCCCAGTTTGTGTCTGCAATCCCAGTCCCCCCAGTGCTCCCAGTCCGTCCCAGTCCCCCCAGTGCTCCCAGTCCATCCCAGTCCATCCCAGTGCTTCCAGTCTGCCCAGTTTGTGTCTCCAATCCCAGTCCATCCCAGTCCATCCCAGTGCCCCCAGTGCCGCAGTGCCACTCACGGGTTGGTGCTGCTCAGCACGAAGAAGGCGCTGCCCTCGGGGATCGGGGTCACCTTGGGCTTGGGGGTCTCCTCCAGGGACTCCAGCCGGGCCCTCCCCAGGCTGTCCCGCTCGCCCCCGGCCTCCTCGTCACCTGCAAGGGACCCCGTGTCAGGCCATTGTCACCTTTCCAGGGACCCCGTGTCCGGCCATTGTCACACCTGCAAGGGACCCCGTGTCAGGCCACTGTCACCTTTCCAGGGACCCCGTGTCTGGCCACTGTCACCTCCCCCTTTCCAGGGACCCCGTGTCAGGCCACTGTCACCTCCCCCCCTCCAGGGATCCTGTGTCCGGCCACTGTCACCTCCCCACCTCCAGGGACCCCGTGTCTGGCCACTGTCACTTCCCTAGGGTCCCTGTGCCCTGCGTCTGGCCACTGTCACCTTTCCAGGGACCCCGTGTCTGGGCACTGTCACCTCCCCAAGGGTCCCTGTGCCCTGAGTCTGGGCACTGTCACCTCTCCAGGGACCCCGTGTCAGGCCACTGTCCCCCCCTTGCAGGGACCTCACCCCAGGCACTGTCACCTCTCCAAGGACCCTCACCCCAGGCACTGTCACACCCCTGCAGGGACCCCACCCCAGGCACTGTCACCTCCCCAGGGACCCCCATCCCAGGCACTGTCACCTCCCCCGGGACCCTGATGCTCAGGGACTGTCACACCCCCCCCTCCAGGGACCCTGTAGCCGGCCACTGTCACCTCCCCAGGGACCCCCATCCCAGGCACTGTCACCTCCCCCGGGACCCTGATGCTCAGGGACTGTCACACCCCCCCCTCCAGGGACCCTGTAGCCGGCCACTGTCACCTCCCCAGGGACCCCCACCCCAAGCACTGTCACCCCCCCAGGGACCCCCACTCCAGGCACTGTCACCCCCTCCAGGGACCCCATCTCATGTCACTGTCACCTCCCCCAGGACCCTGATGCTCAGGGACTGTCACACCCCCCCTTCAGGGACCCCCACCCCAGGGCACTGCCACCCCCCAGTGTCCCTGATGCCCGGGCAGGTGACACTCACCTTCCTCCACCTCCTCCTCCTCCTCCTCCTCTTCCTCCTGCGGCTGATCCCCCTCAACCTAGGGAGGGTGAGGGTGAGGGGTGAGGGCTGTGCACACTCTGGGGGGACAGAGGGACCCCCAGGACCCCCCAGGACCCCCCAGTCACTGTCACCCCCCGGACCCCCCTCACCTTCACAGCCACGTCCTGGCTCTCCGTCCCCGCCTCTGCCTCCCCGGCCTTGTCCCTGGGTTGGGGGAAAGGGGGGCTCAGCCAGGGGGTCCCGGGGTCGGGCACCCCCCAGGGGGCCCAGGGGATGGGTGCCCCCCTCCCCATCACCCCCAAAAGGACCCCAGGGGTCCGGGCTCACTTTTTGTCCCCCCCTGAGTTGATGTTGTCACCGTCGGCCAGGTTGTCCACAGCGATGGCCAAGAAAACGTTGAGGAGGATGTCTGGGGGAGAGAAGGGCTCACCAGTGCTCCCAGTATCCTCCCAGTATCCCTCAACGTCCTCCCAGTGACCCCACTCCCCCCTTTTATCATTCCAAGCCCCACTCTGTCCCACCACAGCTCCCTAGTGACCCTGTGCTCCATTCCCAGTTCCCCGGTTCCCTGCTCCCAGTCCCTCGCAGTGCTCCCAGTGTTCCCAGTGCCCCCTGTGCTCCCAGTCCCTCCCAGTGCTCCCAGTCCCTCCCAGTGCTCCCAGTCCCTCTGGTGCTCCCAATGCCCCTGTGCTCCCAGTCCCTCCCAGTGCCTCCAGTCTCTCCCAGTGCTCCCAGTGCTCTTGATCTCTCCCAATACTCCCAGTACCCCCAGTGCCCCAGTCCCTCCCAGTACCCCCAGTGTTCCCAGTACTCTTGGTTCCTCCCAGTGCTCCCAGTGCCCCCTGTGCTCCCAGTGGCTCCCAGTGCCCTCAGTGGTCCCAGTCCCTTCCAGTACCCCCAGTCCCTCTGGTGCTCCCAGTGCCCCCAGTGCTCCCCAGTACCCCCAATGCTCTTGGTCCCTCCCAGCTCTTGGTCCCTCCCTCATGCTCCCAGTCCCTCTCAGTCCCTCCCAGTGCCTCCAGTCTCTCCCAGTGCTCCCAATGCTCCTGGTTCCTCCCAGTGCCCCCAGTCCCTCTGGTGCTCCCAGTGCCCCCTGTGCTCCCAGTGGCTCCCAGTGCCCTCAGTGGTCCCAGTCCCTTCCAGTACCCCCAGTCCCTCTGGTGCTCCCAGTGCCCCCTGTGCTCCCAGTCCCTCCCAGTACCCCCAGTGTTCCCAGTGCCTCCCAGTGTTCCCAGTACTCTTGGTTCCTCCCCCTCGAGTGCCCCCCGTGCCCCCAGTCCCTCACAGCCCCCGGTGCCCCCAGTCCCTCCCAGTGTCCCCAGTCCCTCCCAGTGCCCCCAGTGCTCTTGGTCCCCCCCAGTGCCCCCGGTGCCCCCGGTGCCCCGGTGCCCACGCACAGTTCCCGCAGATGAAGAGGATGACGAAGTAGACACAGACGAGCATCCCGGGGAACACGGGCCCGCCGTAGGCCATGATCCCGTCGTACATCACCGCGTTCCAGTCCTCCCCCGTCAGGATCTGGGCGAGTGGGGGGTCCCCAAACACCAGAGGCACCCCAAAACCTCAGGGCCACCCCCACCAGTGCTCCCAGTACCCCGCTGCCTCCCAGTTCTGAGTGTGCAGCATCACCCCAGAGCAGCCACAGGGTGGTGATGGCATGGCTTGAGGGGGGCTCATGGGTTTTGGGGTCTCCCCACAGGTTTAGGGGACCCACGAGATTCAAGACCTCTCACAGGTGTTGGGATCTCTCACAGCTTTTAGGGTCTCCCATGGGTTTGGAGATCTCCCACAGATTCTGGGGCTCCCCATAATTTTGGGGTCTCCTCATAGATTTAGGATCCTCCATGCATTTTGGGGTCTCCCCACAACTTTTAGAGCCTCCTCTGGGGTTTCAGGGCCTGACAGCCCTTCAGGCTTTGGGGTCCCCCTGAGGGATTTCAGGTTCCCCATAGTTTTGGGGTCTTCTCATGGCTTTAGGGTCCCCTGTGCATTTTGGGGTCTCCCCACAACTTTCAGAGCCTCCTCTGGGGTTTCAGGGCCTGACAGCCCTGCAGGCTTTGGGGTCCCCCTGCGGGATCCAGGTCCCCCCAGGTTTTGGGGTACCTGGAACACGGTCAGCAGGGCCTGCGGGAAGGTGTCGAAGGTGCTGCGCTTGGTCTGGGTCTCGTCGAAGCTGAAGCGGCCCCCGAAGAGCTGCATGCCCAGCAGAGCGAAGATGATGATGAAGAGGAAGAGCAGCAGCAGCAGGGAGGCGATGGATTTCATGGAGTTCAGCAGGGACCCTACCAGGTTGCTCAGGGATGCCCAGTGCCTGCAGGACATGGGGGTTACTGGGAGCACTGGGAGCACTGGGAAGGGATGGATGGATGGATGGATGGATGGATGGATGGATGGATGGATGGATGGATGGATGGATGGATGGATGGATGGGTGGATGGTGCACACCCAGCACTGGTGGAGCTGGCCCAGGGACTGGTGTTACTGGGAGCACTGGGAAGGGCTGGATGGATGGTGCAGAGCCAACATCTGGAGGAGCTGGCTCAGAGACTGGGGTTACTGGGAGCACTGGGAAGGGCTGGATAGATGGTGCAGAGCCAATACCTGGTGGAACTGGCCCAGGAATGGGGTTACTGGGGTTACTGGGAGCACTGGAAAGGGCTGGATGGGCAGTGCAACTCAAACACTGGTGGAACTGGCCCAGGAACTGGGGTTACTGGGAGCACTGGGAGCACTGGGAGCACTGGGAAGGGGCCAGTGCAGAGCCAGCACCCAGTGGTGGGGGGTGTTGCAGCACTGGGGTGTCACCAGTTTGGGACATTGCGGCATTAGGGCATTGCTCCCTTGGGACATCGGGGTGTTGTGGCTTTGGGACATTGCAGGGCTGGGACATTGGGGTCTTGGGGCAATGGGGTGTCAGGGCATTGAGGCATTGGGGCATTGGGGTGTTGGGATATTGGGGTGTTAGGGCATTGGGATATTGGGGTGTTGGGACATCGGGGCATTGTGGTGTTGGGGCACTAGAGAGCTACAGTGTTTGGGTGTCCTGGTGTTGTGGCACTGGGGTGTCCCGGTGCCAGTGTGTCCCTGTGTCAGTGTGTCCCGGTGCTGGCTCTGCGGTGTCCCGGTGTCAGAGTGTCCACTGTCAGTGTGTCCCGCTGTCAGTGTGTCCCTGTGTCAGAGTGGCCCACTGTCAGTGTCCCAGTGCCGGCTCTGCGGTGTCCCGGTGTCAGAGTGTCCACTGTCAGTGTGTCCCGCTGTCAGTGTGTCCCTGTGTCAGAGTGGCCCACTGTCAGTGTCCCAGTGCCGGCTCTGCGGTGTCCCGGTGTCAGAGTGTCCACTGTCAGTGTGTCCCGCTGTCAGTGTGTCCCTGTGTCAGTGTGTCCCGGTGCTGGCTCTGCGGTGTCCCGGTGTCAGAGTGTCCAGTGTCAGTGTGTCCCGCTGTCAGTGTGTCCCTGTGTCAGAGTGTCCCACTGTCAGTGTCCCAGTGCCGGCTCTGCGGTGTCCCGGTGTCAGTGTGTCCCATTGTCTGTGTGTCCCAGTGTCAGCGTGTCCCTGTGTCAGTGTGTCCCGTGTCAGAGTGTCCTGCTGTCAGTGTGTCCCTGTGTCAGTGTGTCCCGGTGCTGGCTCTGCGGTGTCCCATTGTTGGGGTGTCCCTGTGTCAGTGTGTCCCTGTGTCAGTGTGTCCCGGTGCCAGTGTGTTCCATTGTCAGTGTATCCCATTGTCTGTGTGTCCCACTGTCAGTGTGTCCCACTGTCAATGTGTCCCTGTGTCTGTGTGTCCCACTGTCAGTGTGTCCCACTGTCAGTGTGTCCCGTGTCAGTGTGTCCCGCTGTCAGAGCGTCCCGGTCGCGGCTGTGCGCTGTCCCCGCGCTGTCGCTCACCGGGTCACCTTGAAGACGCGCAGCAGGCGCACGCAGCGCAGCACGGAGATGCCGAGCGGCTCCATGGCGCCGCGCTCCACCAGCGCGGTCTCCAGCACGCCGCCGCACACCACGAAGCAGTCGAAGCGGTTGAAGAAGCTGGCGAAGTAGCACGAGGGCCCGAGCGCGTAGAGCTTCAGCACCATCTCGGCGGCGAACAGCGACAGCAGCGCCTTGTTGGCGTACGCTGGGGGCGACAGCGGCGACACCGAGTCACCCCCGGCAGGGTGGCACGGGCCCCCGAGCTCTGGGGGTGACGGGGTACCGGGGGATGTCAGGGGGTGATGTCAGGGGGGTACCGGGGGATGTCAGGGGGGTACCGGGGATGTAAGGGGGGTGTCGTTTGGGAGGTACCGGGGGATGTCGGGGGGTGTTGTTTGGGGGGCATTCGGGAGTGTTGAGGGGTGCGAAGGAGTTTGAGAGGCACTGGAAGGTGCCGCGGGTAGCGAAAAGTTTGGGGTGCCCTAAACACATCACATCGCGATATAATCAGGATTTCCCCTATTTTCAGGTAATTTCAGTCTATTTTTCACGGTTAAAGGTCCCCGTTGGGGGTGCACCGTTCCCGGAGGCACTGCGGGGCCCTGGGGGGTGTCGGAGCTACCGCGGGGTTAGAGAGGCACTGGGAGGTCTCAGGGGGCACTGGGGGTGTCAGGGATACCAGAAGGTTTTGGGGGCCCTGGGGGTGTCGGGACTACAGGAGGATTTGGGGGATACCGAGGGGATTGAGAGGCACTGGG